CGCAGCTAACGCTCTACCAGTCAGCCACTAGCCTCACCGTGGGTCAACTGAATTATTCAAATCTGCCGACCCGTGTACTAATTAATTTAGCCTAGTAGTCATTCTGGTGGATTCTAGATGATTGCTTTGAAATCCTGCCTGGGCAGGTTGGGCGGGCAAATCGACCCAAACGTGATTAAGTTCACGGTGAGCCTCGTAGCTCAGTGGTAGAGCGTAGGCTGCGCAAAGTTCTTTCCTGCTGTGTGGGTTCGACCCCTACCGAGGTCGAATTAGATTATTTGAAAAACTTAGAATCAAACCAAAACTTGCAAATCCCGTTAAGTTGATGGCGGTCCTCCACCCACCCCAGACTGAATCAGATCATTTTCCCACTTGGCCAGTGCTTGTTAAATCACGTAATCCTTTGGAGGGAAAGGACAAACTGCCCATCTCACTTCTCTGTCGATGCGCCGTCTGAACGCTAACTGTTTGTGTGCCGTCCGCCCCCTAATACACCCTAGAGTAACGTTGATCACCACCAGCCTAGACTGTCCCAAGACTTCCGCTGCTATCGCGTCCTGTTATTAACGAGGACCTCAAATAGGAACTAGTGGGGACTTAAATCCATTCCTGTTGTCTGTGCCTACGGTTCTTCACGGTGGCGCTTTGCCTGCGGAACTTCACTACGGTGTCCACGGGCACCAATAAGCGTAGGTTGGTTAAGTAATCTTTTGTTCTTCTCTTATTATCATTGTCCTCATGACCATGACTGGTGTTGCATGTCTACAACAGCAGTCGAAACGGTTTGTTTAACAGTTAGCTATCAGGACGTTGATGCGTAGTTGCTATTACCTGACTGACGATTCTCTCTGCATTTTTTAGAATGCCTACTGCAAGTCCATCGGCGTGGAATACATGTTTATCAACAGCCTGAACAAGTGCGATTGGCTTCGCAAGCGATTCGAAACTCCGGGTGTTGTGAATTTGACAAAGGAGGAAAAGCGGCTACTTCTGCAGCGTCTCATTCGCTCCAGCAAGTTCGAGGAGTATCTGGCTAAGAAATGGAGTTCTGAGAAGCGATTCGGTCTGGAGGGCTGCGATGTCCTCATTCCAGCCATGAAGACGGTCGTCGATGTGTCAGCCGGGCTGGGCGTAGACAGTTTCATCATTGGAATGCCTCATCGGTATGTCCGAAACTGGTGTACGACCTCATCAAGTTTCTATCCTTTTCCCATGTCATATCGAGCACTGTGAACCTCAGACCCTTTTAAGAGCCCAAAGTCATCGATCCAGATCCTTTTAGAAAACAAAACTGTATGCCGCCACAAACAAGTCGCACTTTTTTTATGAAGCCAAGAAGCCCCGGCCGACATTTTTAAAATATCCTTACCCTGCACCTGCATTTTGCAATCTCCCAGTTGTAGCTTTTTAATTTCCTCGGAAATCAATTTCTAACTTGAAGTTGATCAGTACATTCAAGGGTTTACAGGGGCAGATCATAATTTGATGCGAATATTTGGATTGATGTCCAGAACGGAATAACTGCGTAATATTCACAAGCTGTAAACATACAATCAGTGGTATAACTTACGTAATCATTTACCATACTAGCTAAAGCATCAGTCACGTGTTTCGCCGATATACAAACTCACCTCTAGTTTAAAAAAATACTTTCTGAAGAAATTAAAAAAGTTAAAATTTCAAAACTGTATTACATACCTCAAAAGCAAAGAGAGAATGCTGGGGGACCCACCGGTGAGCCTCACCTGTAGACCCCTTGAATACACTGATCTATTCCAAGTTAGAAATTAATTTCTGAGGAAGTTAAAAGGCTGCAAGCACAGGAGTCTATTCCAGCCTCTCGCGGCCCAGCAGCCACCATTTATTTTGTCTCCATTCCGCGATTAATCGCTCTCCACATATCAACACAGAATACGGGAGCGGAACGTTATTGAGTTACGGCGTCTATTTTGGCAAAACAAAGTAGTGGATACGAACCACCCTGAACTCTTCATCAGCATTAGTATTCTTTTGCCCTCCGTTCCTCTCTCCTAGTCTCGTGTTTTTTTGACATTTGGACGCAAATTTTGTGCCTTGCATACGCGATGGTCTGGCAGGTAGTCGTGTCTTTTATTTACATCTTCCTTTCTAAATTA